GCTAGGATTACAGGCGTGAGCCACCGCGCCCGGCCTCACCAGCATTTTTAATAAATTATGCTTTCCCCCTTGCATACCCCACTCCAATGGTACTAAAACAAGATATTTGCATAATGCAGTTACAGGAACTAAAAGTACTTTGAAGAAATGAGGATGTACATCAGGTGACAAAAAACAGTGTGGAACTCTAGCTTTCAAACTTTTTTTGACTGAGACCATAGTAAGAAATACACATTATATTGCAACATAATACATAAAAACACATACACAGAAAGTTTAACAAAACAATATTTACCCTTAAAAAAATTTACCCTTGCATTTTGTGATGTACTCTAATATTTGTATTTTGTTTTCAGAAAATACCAATCATGTCCCATGAAATTGATTATATTCCCTACTAATGGATCATGCTCTTCAGTGTGAAAGACACTAGTGAGGAGAAAAGTGAATGGGACTTGCTAAAAACATGGGTTCACAGAGCTCCTTAGAGAAATGACTAGTTTCAGCAGTGGGGAAAAAATATTAAAGTCTCAACATTTAATCTTAAATATTAAACTCAACTATCATTTTCTTTAGAAAACCTCACTGAATTCTCTAATTTGGTTAAGCTCTACCCCCTGCCCCACATCATCTTTTGAAGCAATTAAAACAATTTTAATTAAGAAATCCTGTCCTAATCTTACCTACTTGACAAACTACTATCTGTCTTTCAAAACTCAAGAGAGATGTCACCTCTTCCAGAATGCTTTCCTTAATACTTCTCCTCTTACCCTCAAAGACTTTTTCACTCCTTCCTCTGAACCTTCTAGCTAACTCCTGTTATTGCATGAAGCATATTATAATGTATAGCATTTATTTTATAAGTGTCAATACTGGCTCGTGAGTTCCTTAAAGAAACTCATTTCTCAGCACTCTGGGAGGCCGAGGCGGGAGGATTGGTTGAGCTCAGGAGTTCGAGAGCAGCCTGAGCAAGAAGGAGATCCCATCTCTACTAAACATAGAAAGAAATTAGTGGGACAACTAAAAATATATAGAAAAAATTAGCTGGGCATTGGCGCATGCTCGTAGTCCCACCTACTCGGGAGGCTGAGGCAGGAGGATGGCTTGAGCCCAGGAGCTTGAGGTTGCTGTGAGCTAGGCTAACGCCACGGCACTCTAGCCTGGGCAACAGAGTGAGACTCTGTCTCAAAAAAAAAAAAAAAAGAAACTCATGTCTCCAAGGAAGATATATAGATAGTCAATAAGCATGTGAAAGGATGCTTAACATCACTAATCACTAATCATTAGGTAAAGCAAATCAAAACCACAATAAGATATTACTTCATATCCATTAGGATAGCTACTGTCAAAAAGAAAAAAAAAGTGTTGTCAAAATATGGAGAAATCGGAACCCTTGTGCACTGATGATAGTGATGTAAAACAATGCAGTCATTGTGGAAAACAGTATGGCTGTTCCTCAAAAAATTAAAAATAAAACTACCATATGGTCTGGCAACTTCACTTCTCAGTAAATACCTCAGTAAGGGCTGCCATAACAAAGTACCAAAGGCTGGGTAGCTTAAAAAGAAATTTATTTTCTCACAGTTCTGGGTCTAGAAGTCCAAGATTAAGGTATTGGCAAATTTGGTTCCTGGTGAGGGCTCTCTTCCTGACTTGCAGACAACTGCCCACTCACTGTGTCCTCACATGGCCTCTCCCACGTGCATGGGAAGGAGAGCTCTTGTCTCTTTCTCTTAGTCCTTTGGATTAGGGTTGCACCTTTATGACATCATTTAACCTTATTTATTTCCTGAAAGGCCCTATCTCCAAATACAGTTACATTGGGGGTCAGAGGTCCAACATATGAATTTTGGAGGGACATAATTCAGTCCAAAAGAATACCTAAAATAACTGTAAGCAGAGACTTGAAGAGATGTATGTACACTCATGTTCACAGTAGCAGCATTATTCACAAGAGCCAAAAGCCAGAAGCAGCCCAAGTGTCTATCATGAGATGAACAAATAAAATGTCTTATATACATACAACGGAATAGTATTCAGCCTTAAAATAGAAAAAAATTCTGACACACACTACAATGTGAATGAACTTTGAGGACATTATGACGAGTAAAATAAGCTGGACACAGAATATTATATGATTCCACTTACATGAAGTCTCTAGAATAGTTACATTTATAGAGACAGAAAATAGAATAGTGTTTGTTAAGGACTAGGGGAGGGAGAAATGGGGAGTTATTGTTAAATAGGTTCAGAGTTCCAGTTTTGCAATATTAAGAGTTCTGTGAATGAATGATGGTGATGGCTGCACAACATTGTGAATGTTGTGCCAACCTAATGCCACTAAACTGTACACTTTAAAATGGCTGAGATGGTAAATTTTATGTTATGTGTATTTTATCACAATTTTAATAAAAAGTTAAATATAAAATTACCATATGATCCCGCAATTCCACTCCAAGGTCTATATCAAAGAGAAGTGAAAACATACGTCCAAACAAAAACTTGTAAATGAAAAATTCTTAACAGCATTATCCAAAATAACCAAAAAGTGGAATCAATCTAAATACTGATAAAGTCACCAAAATTCACTAAAGGGCAAATTCTTAATAGCTTTATAAAGATGCAATGCACACAGGATGCAATTTACCCAATTAATGTGTACAATTTGATGATTTTTAGTATGTTCATTTATATGTACAATCATCACCAGTTATCAAACATTTTGATCATTTCAGAAAGATAGCTGCCCCCCCAAGACACCCTGTAACCTTTTGCTATCAACCTCCTAACCCTCTGTTAGCCCTAACCCTAAGCAACTACTAATGTACTTTCTGTCTCTGTAGATTTATCTACTGTGGAAATTTAATATTAACACAATCATACAATATGTGGTCATTTGTGTCTGACTTCTTTCACTTAGCATAATATTTTCAAGATTTAACCAAGTTATAGATAAAATGTATTGGAATTTCATTCCTATTAATGGCCAAATAATGTTCCATTGTATTTTATTTGTCAATGCATCAGTTGATGGTGAGTTTGGTTGCTTCTACTTTTAACTACTATGAATAATGCTGCTATAAACATTCATAAACAAATTTTTGAGTGAGTAAGTCTTAGTTCATTGGTAAATACCTGAAAGTAAAATTGATGGGTCACATGGTAAGTCTATGTTTAATTTTTTGAGGAGTTGCTAGACTGTTTTCCAAAGAAGCTGAGCCATTTTACATTCATACCAGCAATGGACAAGAACTCCCAGCATTTGGTATGATTAGTCTTTTTTTTTATGATAGCCATCCTAGAGGTCAGTCTGTTTTTATTATAGCATCTCATTGTGGTTTTGATTTGCATTTCCCTAGTGACTGATGATGTTGACCATCTTTATGTGTTTAGCCTTTTTCTATATCTTCTTTAGAGAAATCCCTATTCAGATCTTTTGCCTGGGTTCTAATTGGCTTATGTGTATTTTTATTATTGGGTCATAAGAATTCTTTAGATAGTCTGGATACAAGTCCCTCGTTAAGATTTATAAATATTTTTTCCCATTCTGTAGATTATCTTTTCACTTTCTTGTATTCTTTGAAAAACAAGTTTTCAAATTTAATGGAACCAAATTTATCTATTTTTTTCTTTTGTTACCTGTGCTTTTGTCATATCTAATAATCCACTGCCAAATCCAAGTTCATGGGCTGGGCGTGGTGGCTCACACCTGTAATCCTAGCACTCTAGGAGGCTGAGGTGAGAGGATGGCTTGAGGTTGGGAGTTCCAGACCAGCCTGAGCAAGAGCGAGACCCCATCTCTACTAAAAATAGAAAACATTAGCAGGGCATGGTGACATGTGCCTGTAGTCCCAGCTACTCAGGAGGCTGAGGCAGGAGGATCGCCTGAGCCCAGGAGTTTGAAGTTGCTGTGAGCTAGGACGACGCCACGGTATTCTAACCTCGGCAACAGAGCAAGACTCTGTCTCAAAAAAAAAAAAAAAAAAATCCAAGTTCATAAAAATTTCCTGCTCTTTTCTTCCAAGGAGTTTACAGTTTTAGGCTGCATATTTAGGTATGATTCATTTTGAGTTAATTTTTGTAT